GAAGCTTCCTCTTTGCATGACTGAGATTCAAATCCCTACAATAAGGGAAAGAAGTAGGGGTTTGTAGATGTAGAGAAAAATCTTCACGATGTTTCCTTTCAGTAAAGTTTTCCCTTCCTGAGAGTAACATCATTTCTTAGATTAATGGCAGTTCTAACCGGCCTTTCTCAAATGGCAATTCAGTTGAGTGGCATAAAATGGTACTTCCTTCTTCAATACCAATTTCTACTGATTATGGTAGTGGTAATACTCGGAAATGGAGATCAGGGTGTGAACATTGGAAATCCCTCCTGTGTGTTCCAAAGAGGCTATTGGGCAACAGCATTTGCGAATGATTTTCCAGAATTCTAGAATGTCCTCTCTTCTCTACTGAGGCCAATAGTGGTTTAAAAGGTAGAATCTGCAGCAATACTCTATCCCTTTGTTCTCACAAACAGGTTTTGTTGTGTCAAAGCTGGACCTGGTCATCTTTTTGGAACAAAAGAGGGAGCAATCGGATGTGAAGAGAAAGGAGACAGTAGGCTCCTACCCAGGTAGGTGGGAATGAAGGAAGCAGATGACAGAGGGGAGGTCGCAATGTGAAGGAGGAAGACAGACCTTAACATGTGGTTTGGGCAGCCCTTCTTGAATAGAAATTAGTTTGAGAAACCTAGTTTCATGTCTCTCCCTCTCACAGTGGACATCTGCTTTCCAACACATCACACTCATATTCTCTATGGATTGTCCTTCAGTTCCATTGAAGATCCTTCACAGCCACAGTGAGGGCCTCCCTTGTCTCATTGGTTCTCCATTGCTTTGTGGGTTTGGGGAAATCTCTGTATTTCTGAGGAAGCCTATGTTAATTCATTTCTGAGTGTTTACCTTGTGTGAGAAGTGTGTCAGGGTAGTGGTTGGTATATTGGGGTTTGGTGCAGAAATCCCGGGAACACTGGGGACTGATATCACATGTTATCTGGTTTATGCTTTCCAATATTATGGAGGCTTTCATCTTAATCATACAAAATTGAGACCCACTAATTTCATCAGATAATAAAGCACCTCCCTAATATGTGAAAATCTCAACCTTTATTTCACTTCAGAAGTTCAGGTTTTAGGGTGCATGGCTAGATCACTTTTTGAAGCTTCTGACTTCTACTGAAGTCACGATCTCACAGTTAGTGAATTTGAGTCCCGCATAGCCTCTGTGATGACAGCGCCGAGGAACCTTGGAATTCTGTCTCCTTCTCTCTCTGCTCCTCCCCTACTTAGTCTTTATCTCTCTCTCAAAATAAATACAAATAAACTTTAAAAACTAAGAGGAGTTCATTTTGTGTATTATTTACTAAAATAAGAAATTTATACTGTATGTGCTCCATTCCTCACTCGCGAAATAATTTAAAGCACCTATGATTTTGCCAGCATTCCTACATCAATTAATACCCATAGGGGCGATAGAACATTTAGAATTTAAAATTCGCAGCCCATAATAAAGTCTCAATTGTTACATTATTTCCTGATACTTGAATCATTTTATAATTTTTTTATGTATACCATGATGTTGATGTGACTTTGTCATATATGTTTTCACTTTCTGAGTAGTTGTTTATGAGATGACATTATGATTTATATCATTAAATTTTTAAAAATTTTTTAATTTTTATTTTTGAGACAGAAAGAGAAAGAGAGAGAGCAAGAGAGGGTAGATACAGAGGGAGACACAGAATCTGAGGCATGCTGTAGGCTCTGAGCTGTCCACACAGAGCCTGACATGGGGCTCAAACCCACAAATTGTGAGATCATGACCTGAGCCTGTCTGATGCTCCACTGACTGAGTCACCCAGGTGTTCCTAGACCAGTAGTTCTGAAATGACTTGAGTATGTGCTTTATAACAAATGAGGGCACTGGTTAGTAAAATTCTTATATGTAGAAAAAAGTTTCAATTGTAAATGAAATTTTACTTCTGAAAAAATGAATCATTAGTTTTTCTACTTTTCTCAGAATGTATCTGAATTTAATCCCAGAGATTTTTTTTTAATAGAGTGCTCGCTATTTACAATACTGACAGTGCTTGTTTACTCAGAAATGAAAGATTTGGGAGCACTTGGGTGGCTTAATCGGTTGAACATCTGACTCTTGAATTCAGTTCAGCTATGATCTCCTGGTCTGTGAGTTGTAACCTGGATCCTCCTCTGCACTGACAGCATGGAGCCTGCTTGGGATTTTCTCCCTCTCTGTCTGCCTCTCGTATTTTCTCTTTCTCTGTCTCCCTCTCTGTTGCCCTGTCTCTCTCACTATACACTTTTAAAAAAATCTTAAAGCAAACGTTTTTCTTTACTTAATTCTAAAGAATGGATTACACCCTTAAAATTTGTGTAATTGGAAGGATATATTAACATAATACACTTTTCATGTCTTTTAACTGCTTGTTTCATTAGAGGTTTCCATGGCTGTTTTTTTTTTTTTTTTAATGTTTCTTTATTTTTGAGAGAGACAGAGTCTGAGTGGGGGAAGGTCAGAGAGAGAGAGAGAGAAGGAGAAAGACACACAGAACCAGAATCTGAGCTGTCAGCACAGAGCCTGACACTGGGCTCAAACTCACGAACGGGTGAGATCATGACCTGAGCTGAAGTTGGCCACTTAACCTACTGAGCCACCCAGGTGCCCCTCCATGGTTGGTTTTAATGAGTATACTTTACAACTTTGCGGTTGGTTTTAATGAGTATACTTTACAACTTTACTGTCATGCCAATAATTCAAAATGTTCCATTTCTTTTATGTGTACAGAGTCACAGTCTAATATTATAGCTACATAGGGGCATCAGGGTGGCTCGGTTGTTTGCTTGTCTGGCTCTTGATTTAGGCTTAGGTCATGGTCTTACAGTTTGTGAATTCAAGCCCTGTATCCAGTTCTGTGCCAACAGTGCATATAATGGTTTGTTATACCTTTAAGATATTTTAAGTAATCTCTAAGGAAACCACAATCAAAATATGTACACAGTATATTCACCAATAAACAGATGATAAAATTAATTCTATTCTTATGACAACTCACATAGAGATGAAACAACATTCACTGACCACTATCCCAGGAAAGAAATACACAGGATGATTCACAAAGTATGCAAGGATAATATTGCAAGAGACAAATACTAAGATAATTGTATTGGCAGAAGACAAAAAGGTGATTCATATTTGAGTTTCACACACATTGTCCTAAAATGTAATAGTTGAAAATTGTCACCCTATACGAAAATACACAGGTAAAAACAAAACCAAACCTAAAGCTGAAGTTGAAAAATAATGTAGTGGATAAATCCATACAAAAGGAACCACATTATTATCGAATTGCAAAATCAGAATAAGACAAACTATAATCCAAAAATTCTACATAAAAAAGGTGAATTACTTAAAGGAATCATACTATAAATTTATTTTATCTTTTGGGGGAGAGAGAGAGAGCACCAGGAGGGCAGGAAGAGAGAGAGAGGGAGGGAGAGAGAGAATCCCAGCATGCTCTGCACTGTCACTACACAGCCCAATGCAGGGCTTGAAGTCCTAAAATGTGAGATCATGACCTGCGGTGAAATCAACAGTCAGACTCAACCAACTCAGACAGCACCCAGGAGTCCCTGTATATCTATAATTATAAATTGTTTTCTTTAAAAAATACTTAATGTTTATTTATTTATTTTTGAGAAGGAGAGACAGAGTCTGAACATGAGAGGGGAAGAGAAAGAGGGAGTCACAGAATCTGAAGCAGGCTCCAGGCTCTGAGCTGTCAGCACAAAGTCTGACACGGAGCTCCAACTCACTACCGCAAAATCATGGCCTGAACTGAAGCTGGACACTGAACGTACTGAGCCACCTAGGTCCCCTGTAGCTATAATACTGAACTTTGAGTGTGCACCCAAGAAAAAAGGGAACATTTTGAATTAGTAGTATGTCTTCATAGACAGTAAAATTGTAAATTATATTCAGTAATATACACCATGGAAAGCTCTAATGAAAACCCTGATGTATTAAGCACTTAAAAGACAGTATAACACAGAATTTAAGGGTATAACCCATTTTTTTAGAATCAAACAAGTAAGAAACTTTCATTTCCTTTACATTTTTTTCCCCATGTATTTCCAGAAACAGAGAGTTAGAGAGTAGAGGAGGAGCAAAGAGAGAGGAGAGAATTCCAAGCAGGTTCCGCGCTGTCAGTGCCAAACAGTATGTGGGGTGGAACTCCTTAACGATAAGATGATGACCTGAACTGAAAACAAGAGTCAGATCCTCAACATTCTGAGCCACACAGGCACCCCAAAACCTCTTATTTCTAAATAAATAAATGCCATCAAAGTTGTAGAATATGTCAACAATAACGTTATAAAAAATAGTTGGAATTAAATACAGATACAATCTGAGTGATGTAGAAAAACTAATGATTCATTTTTCCTAAAGTTAAAGTTCTCTGATTTCAGTTCTGTGTGCCAGAAATTTTAATTGTATTCACCTGACAGTAGTATGTGGAATGATTTTTCTTTTATTCATTACCTTTCAGCTGTGTCTTCAAATGGCCCTCAGAGCCTCCTTCCAAAGATGTGCATAGAAACTTCTTTCCAAAGAGTGTCAGTGGGTAGATGTAAAGATAGCGTCATTGAGAATGGACTCTTAGTGATAGATGGGAACAGTGTTGGGAAGAGACAAGGGCACCAAAGATCTCCTGAAGCACCTATACAAATGGAGACAACTGCCCGTTATAAGAATCTTACTGCCCCATTCGGTGAAAGAGCTAAAGCATTTTGGGGAACGCCCATTTCTAAGTCCATTACTTCTGCAAAGCAGTGTGTTTCTACAGGCAAAGACTCAAATCAAATGGTGAAACACACATATTTGCAGAAAAAAATTTGGAAAATCTGGAAAGTGACCTTGTCCATCCTGAAAATACACATTTGTACCATTTTGGCCATAGGATTTCATTGACCTTTCAGTCAAATATTTCTGAAAATCAGACATTTAAAACTGGAGGAAAAAGTAGTAAGTGGCATCCATTAGAAGGGTCCTTCTCTGAGCAATCGACCTTAAACCCTAACCACAGCATTTTCAATGAAAACAGAATTGCTCATTGCAGTGAATCTGAGACAATATTTAACCAGGGTTCAAATGTTACAAAACATCTAAGGACATGTTTGTCCCAGAACCATTATGAATTGAATAAATGTAGAGAAGTGTTTCATGAAAACTTCAACCTTCTTATACATAAGAGGATACATTTGGAAGAAAATCCCTCAAAATATAATGATTGTGGGAAAATCCCTAACCAGTCCTCTAATGATCATGATCATCAGAAGATTCATGTGGAAAAAAACCCATGTACATGCATTGAACCTGGGAACATGCTTAGTGAGTCATCAAGCCTAAGGATAAATAAGACAATGCATAGTGGACACAAAGGATACATTTGTTAGAAATGTGGCAGAGCCTTCAGCTGGCACTCAACACAACTTCAACATCAGCGAGTGCATACTGGAGACAAACCTTACAAATGTGAAGAATGTAGTAAAACCTTTAATTATGGCTCATCAGTAAATCGACATAAATTAATTACTACTGGCGAGAAACCTTACCAATGTAAAGAATGTGGCAAGGCCTTTAACTGGCGCTCAGATCTAAGTAAGCATCACAGAATCCATACTGGAGAGGAACCTTACCAGTGTAAAGAATGTGGCAAGGCCTTTAGGAACCCCTCTGCTCTTAATCGACATCATGGAGTCCATACTGGAGAGAAACCTTACCAATGTGGAGAATGTGGCAAGGCCTTTAACCGGCCCTCCAACCTTATTCAACATCACCAAATCCGTAGTGGAGAGAAACCTTACCAGTGTAAAGAATGTGGCAAGGCCTTTAAGAACCACTCAGCTCTTAATCAACATCACAAAATTCATACTGGAGAGAAGCCTTACCAATGTAAAGTATGTGGAAAGGCCTTTTCCCACTCGTCAAACTTTACTGAACATCACAAAATCCATACTGGTGAGAAACCTTACCAATGTAAAGAATGTGGCAAGGCATTTACACATCGCTCATCCCATATTCAACATAACAGAATCCATACCAGAGGAAAGTTATCTGTGTAATGAATGTGGCAAGGCCTTTACCCACAACGCAAACCTTACCAAACATCACAAAATCCATACTGGAGAGAAACCTCACCAATGTAAAGAATGTGGCAAGGCCTTTAAGAACCGCTCGGCTCTGAATCAACATAACACAATCCATACTGGAGAGAAACCTTACCAATGTAGAGAATGTGGAAAGACCTTTACCCAGCACTCAAATCTATCTGCACATCAGAAAATTCATACTTGAGAGAAACCCTACCAATGTAAGGAATGTGTAAAGGTCTTTATGTACCGCTCATACCTTATTCAACATCACAGAATCCATACTGGGGAGAAGCCTCACCAATGTAAACAATGTGGCAAGGCCTTTACCGAAGAATCAAGCCTTAGTCGACATCACAGAATTCATACTTGATGGAAACCGATGTAAAGAATGTACTAAGCTCTTTCATCAGTCTTTAATCTTTACTCATTATCGCAGAATTCATATGACAGCAAATCTTCCAAACTTAAGGAATGTGCAAAACGTTTGTGGACAGCTCACTGCTTACTTCACATTGGAAAATGTATCCTGGAGAATAACCACTGAATACTAAAGAATGTGGCAAGGCTTTGAAGCAATGCTACACCCTGACTCCTGATCGGAGAGGGAACACTGGGGAGGATTTTACAAATTTAAAAAATTTGGGAAGCCTGTTCATCAGAGGTGAAGCTTCAGTCTGCATCACAGAGTTCATACTGGAGAAAAACTTAATCTATAAGGAATGTGGTAAAACTTCCATGACTGCTTAACACTACTCTGCATCACAGACATTCTACTTAGGAGAAACATAACAAAAGTAAAGAATGTGTCTGGCCATTTGCTGGAACTCACAACTGCCTTAATATCATAGCTCTCTTACAGGATAGAACTCACATGTAGAGGAAGTTGCAGGGCTTATGACTGGAATTTGATCCTTAATCAATATCCTAAAGTACACACAAGATGTAAATCCTACAGACATATTGAATGAGGAACGGCTTTATGTACACTTTAGCAAGCACAGACACTTCTTCATAAAAGAAGGTACCTTGAAAGAAATAAATCTTTAGAAGGATATTTAATGGATCATCATATGTCAATAAATGTCACAGAATTCACATTGGAAAGTAGTACATCAGTTTCTACTCAGATACACGTCAAAATACTAATGATAAGGAATAATACAATGTTAAACAGTGTATATGCCATTATGCCTCAAAAGATTAAATGGATCAATTTTTGAATAGGCACGTTAATTTCAGTCTGTACTTTGTTTTTTCTCACCTCAACCCTATGTGACATTTGTGACTAGTAAACATTAATATATTTCTACTCTCGAATTACTTCCAGAATTCATTAGTTCCCAGTGGTTTTTGAAAATTATGTGGCTGGGGCGCTTGGGTGGCTCGGTTGAACGCCCAGCTTCGGCTCAGGTCATGATCTCGTGGTTCGTGGGTTCAAGCCCCACGTTGGGCTCTGTGCTGACAGCTAGCCCAGAGCCTGGAGCCTGTTTCAGATTCCGTATCTCCCTCTCTCTCTGACCCTCCCCTGCTCATGCTGTCTTTATCTCTCTCTCTCAGAAATAAATAAACCATTAAAAAAATACATTGTTTAAAAGAAAATTATGTGGCTGATTGTTGATGCATGAAAGATACGACATGCCCTTCTTCATTAGGTGTGACTTGTGTCATTTTTCATGGAAGATGGACAACATAAACACAATTTATAAAGAAAATCTTCACGGATATGCTGTTTTTGGTGAAATCATTGGGGTAAGTTCTAATGTAATAGGTGTTCAGAGCACTATTCTTTCCCTTATATTAAAACTGAAAATCTTAGGGGCGCCTGGGTGGCTTAGTCGGTTAAGCGTCCGACTTTCACTTAGGTCATGATCTCGCGGTTCATGGGTTCGAGCCCCGCATCGGGCTCTGTGCTGACTGCCAGCTCAGAGCCTGGAGCCTGTTTCAGTCTGTGACTCCCTCTCTCTCTGACCCTCCCCTGCTCACGCTGTCTCTCTCTCTCTCTCTCCTAGAAATAAATAAAACATAAAAAAAAAAAATTAAAAAAAAAAACAAAACTGAAAATCTTGGGATGACTGGGTGGTTCAATCAGTTGAGTGTCCGATTCAGCTCAGGTCATGATTTCATGGTTCATGTGTTTGAGCTCCATGTCGGGCTCATTGCTGACAGCTCAGATTCTGGAGCTTGTTTCAGATTCTATGTCTACCTCTCCCTCTCTGCCCCTCCCCTGCTCACGTACGGCTCTCTCTCTAAAATAAATAAATAATAATAATAATAAAAGTAAAACTCTTGTTGACTTATAAATAAAATAATTTCCCAAACGTTCTATAAGCAAAAAAAAGGTACAGGGTAGTGAAATACTGGTATATCTTCTCCATGGCAATAGTTAGGGAATGTCAGTTAATGTGGTTGAAATGATGGAATGCTCAGAGCGATTAGAAACAGCATGACAAACTCTTCCCCAAAATGTCAAACGATTATACACATTTTACAAGAATGACCTCAGGCCTGAAAATTATGGACGTCTGTATTCCCACATCATCTTATCAAATATTTGTGAAGGCTTGTTTCCTAGATTTTGAACAGTGGCAATAGACCGGGCTTGAAATGCATGACTTTGCCTATATGTGAACTTAAACCACTTAATTAATAAAACATAATTCAAATGTGTTTCCTGCGTATGGAGAGTGGAGTGTTATCTGACCACCAATTTTTACCTATCTCATATCATTCAATACTGTAGGAATGGGATGGAAAGTAAGATAATGTGAAGATTCTTTCCAGTTTAGGGTGGGAACTGGAAGTAGCTCCCTTTCATAACGCTAAGGTCACAGACAGCTCTTGGTCGCATCATCTGATGAATAAAAGTCCTAGAGATAAGGAATTGGCAAACGTGGTGAGATTCTGAGGATGAGGGAAGTGCCATTTTATCTACATGATTTAATTGATTTTCTGTGTGTTACTGCGGACCAGATGCTCTAAGATGACCATGATTCCTGTGATGCCCAGGTCTTGATCAGTGGCACTTATGGAGGAGGGTGATGTAATCATTGTGGGCATTGCTGTAAAATGTCACACGTTACAGTAGATACTGGAGATGACACTCAAAGGGCCTGGACATGGTGGGATAGTTTTAGAGACAGGGACCCGATGAGATTTATTAGAAACACATATTATTTAACCTGTTTTCATTCTCTGAAGCAGGGCTATAGAAACTCTACAAAGCCACTTAGGAAGCAGGGAGTTTTTAAAGGGGAGTCAGGGAACTCCTGAACATTGACATGCAGGGGAAGCAGTGGTACAGTGCTGAATCATTCTCCATATGACCTCAAGACCTGCTGGCAACAGAAAAGGCCACTTTTCTACCATGGTCAAGCTTGAAATTCTAGGAACATTGGGTTCCTTCTTTCCCCAGCATCAGTGGGGTGTTGAAATCTCAAAGAAGTGACAATTAGTCAAGCCATAAGGTAGAGAGTGTAGGTCAGTGTGTTAGATGTATGTACTCATGACAGTATTTGCAACAGGTATAGGCTGAGAAAGTCTGTATTTGGAAAGTAACATAGATACATCATTAAGGCAGTGTTTATGGAGCTTTTACTCTACACACACACAGCTTTTACTCACAAGGTTCTGTGCTGGGTACCTCAGGAACGTGTATGTGAGTTAACCTTCTCATACTTTAGGACTTGAAAATGGGTGTCCAGTATTTCCCCCAGAATATAGGTGTTGTGCCCTGCGCTTCTGTTTCTTTTTCTCCCGTAACGTTGATTGTATAAAAGAGGAGCCAAGTACGATTTGGAAGAATATGTGAAAGCATGAACTGGAACCTCAGAGGAAGTTCTCATTGTTGACAAAGAAGTAAACTTGCATGTGACAAACAGGAGACATTCAAATCTAATAGTATATGTATGGAGACTCCACAAACAGGGAAATTGCAAAGAAAGGAAGAGTAAGGTATACATGTCTTTGAGGAAGGAAGAAGGGAGGAGGGAAGAACAGAAGTCTGGGGCCTCCAAGGGAAAGAATGTAATTCACAGGAAGATAAAAAGTATTTGATAAGCAAATATTTTCTGGGCTGCTCTAAAACAGTAGGACATAGAAAACTTTGTTCACATGGTGCTTCCTGGCCTCCTCCTTGTTGACCATATCTTGCTTGTCTCATAATGTAGTCCATGTGGTGAGTGCTCTCCTGGGCAGCTTTCCCATGTATATTATTTTTAGACAGGTGAAAAGTAAACATTTTTCCTTCATCTGCTTAATTTTGATTGCTTCTTACCTCTAATCTTTCTGCCAGAGGGGTCCAGCATTGAAGAGCCTGTGTGTGACTCAGACAAACTGGAAGAGATTTTGTTGAATTAAATGAGAATCACGCAGGGGAGAAAATACTATACGAAATCATGTGGAATCTAAAATACATTAAAATCAGGACACCTGGGTGTCTCATTTGGCTAAGTGCCAACTTTGGTTCATGGCATGACCTTGTGGTTTATGAGTTTGAACCCCATATTGGGCTCCCACGCTAATGTGTGGAGCCTGCTTGGCAGTCTTTCTTTTTTTTTTTTTTTTTTTAATGTCTTTTATTATTTATTTCTGAAAGAGAGAGACAGCATGAGCAGGGGAGGGTCAGAGAGAGAGGGAGTCACAGACTGAAACAGGCTCCAGGTTCTGAGCTGGCAGTCAGCACAGAGCCCGACGCAGGGCTCAAACCCACGAACCGCGAGATCATGACCTGGGCTGAAGTCGGATGCTTAACCAACTGAGCCACCCAGGTGCCCCATCCAGCATGTTTTTAATTCATTCCACAACTGGTCCCAGAAATACCTTCTATTTGCTTCTTTATATTTTCAGAAAATGAAAAGACGAATCACATAATGACATTTTTGAAAGTCTTAAGACCCAAAATATAATAGAGTCTTAGATAGGAACTTCTCCAGGTAGTTGCAACTCAAAGGAAACTTGATTTTCAGCCAATGAGGTGATCCGAGGGAAGCAGAGACTCACAAAGGCAGGGGAGATGGTTTACTTCTATTCAGGGTTAGGGTGGATCTCATGGTTTGTGAGTTGGAGCCCCGCCTGGCTCTGCTGATAGCTCAGGTCCAATTGCCTGCTTCAGATTCTGTTTCTGCCTCTCTCTCTCACCCTCCCCCACTAGTGCTCTGTCTCTCTTTGTCTCTGTCTCTCTATCAAATAAATTTTCTTAATGAAGAAAAGGGGCACCTGGGTGGCTCAGTCAGTAAAGCATCTGACTTTGGCTCAGGTCACAGTCTTAAGTTTGTGAGTTTGAGCCCCAAGTCGAGCTGAAGTCGGACGCTTAACCGACTAAGCCACCCAGGCGCCCCTAGGGTGGATATTTAGAAAGAGATGGTTTGTCATCTTTTTGTTTTAAAGTTCTGCTTATTTTCAGAAAGAGAGGGCTTTCCTGTGAGCAGAGGAGGAGCAGAGAAAGGCAGAGGAAGAATTCCAACCAGGTTCCCTGCTGTCAACCCAGAGCCAAGTCACCTGAGCTCAATCCTGGGAACCCTGAGATCATGACCAGAAATGAAACAAGAGTCAGATGCTGAACTGACTGAATCTTCCAGGTACCCTGCGGCCTATTATCTTATGTCAATCTTGGCTAAAGGTCACACAAGCACATTAAGAAAACAGTTATTTACATATTTTGTAGGTATGTTATGTAAAAGAGGTTTGTGCTCCTCATGTGGAGGTTTTAGAATTATAAAGAGGTAAAAGTTACTGTTGTCCACTTCATGGTTTTTCTCCTTGGGTCATCTGCAGAGGTGTGAGTCAGGGGTGAAGCTTGAAGGATCAAGCAGGCTGAAGTTCTTTCTCGGGGCAGTCATTACTTTTCATTCCATGCTTTGTTTCTTATCAGAGGACACTGTGCCCATTGGGTGTTTTGCCCAAAATAAAAATTAAGGTGGAAAGGAGAGGTGAAGTAAAATGAGGACGAAGGTCCATGGGCACAAGCAGGTAAGTAGTGAAGTTCAGCTCTTGAAGTCCAGCTTGTGACATTGACTCCCTCTTTCATCTTAGGCACCATTGTGAACTACCAGCAGCCACTTGATAACTGTATTATTTATATCTGGGACTGCTGACCTTCAGGTATGTGGCCATAGGATTCTCTCAGGAGGAGTGGGGATGCCTGAGCCACAGCCAGCGGGAACTCTACAGGGATGTGATGTTAGACAATTATGGACACCTCCTCTTTTTGGGTGAGGATAACTCCTTCCGGATTTCCCAAATCACACTCAGGGTTTTGTTCCTTCCTTTGAAGACTGCCTCTTGGAAAATTACTCTTTGCATGACTGGAATTCACATCCCTGCAGTAAGGGAAAGTAGAGGTTGGCAGATGTAGAGAAAAATCTTCCTGATGTTTCCCTCTCAGTTTTAGTTTTCTCTTCCTTAGAGTAACATGATCATTT